GGATATTCAAATTCTTATTATTTATTTTGAACTCATCAAGAAAGGATCTTCATATAATTTATTACAAACATTACAGATGTACTTTGGACAGTATTTTTTAAGCTATGTAGATTATGACCCTGTGAGTAGATCATAATAAGATCAACTAATTTGATCATCAATATTTCATTATATTTTATTGTATCACTAGTTTAATCAGAAATATATTTGTGTGTCTAAATATATATGTATGCATATACAAGTGTGTGTGGGTATGTGTTTACTGATTTACACATACACATTATATAGTAGTATTATCTATATACATGCACACACATGCATATACTTTTATGTGTCAGAGTTGTGAGGTAAAATGTATTAATTTGAATTTTTAGTATCACTATGAAATTTTTAAATGCAAAAAAAATGTATTCCTTTTGGTGTGCAGCTTTTGAAAATATAAAGTGAACCCCTCACAATTTCAAGAAAGTATTATTTTGTAAACTGCAATTACGTAGTTCGCTTAAGGAATTTGTGTATTTATTTTCATTCATTTATTTTTATTCATTTTATTCTCTATTTTTTTCTTTATTTTCACGCATTTCTAATGTTTTAAAATGAGCAATAAAAATTTTTAAATCCAGGTAGGGGTTTCAATACCCAGGAAATAGACCTCTTTAGTTAACTAATTTTGAAATATCAGCACCTTCTTATAATTCTTCGCAGTATTAAATTTACTTTTTGTAGTGTTAAACTTTTGGTAAATGTGAAATTAACTCTTGACTATGTCAAGAAAGTGAGAAAATTATTGAAGCTAGAGTCTGCTTCAGTAACTGCAGTGACAAGGCAGTTCATACCCTCCAAATCTTAAATCCAAACAGGATCTGGGAGATTATGTAGTCAGTGGTTTTCTAAACTTTCCTTTAACAGTGACACCTTTTTATGAACCAAATCTAACATGGAATCCCAGCTGTTGGAAGCAGAGTTGCTCTACAAAAGCCAGGAAGCCTAGTTTAAAAATTGTCATATGCCTGTGCTTCTCATGTCCACATCAGAACCTGAGATGATCAGAAGAGACCAAATGGCCTCTTGAAATTGGTCACTTCTTGGCAGAGCTAGAACTCAAGCTGTTGACTGTCGTTTAAGGCATTTTGCATACTATGCTGTTGTGAAGGGAATTCTACATTCTGCTTAGCTCCAGCAGAAGGATGAATGCCTTATGCAATGGGGTCCTAGACATTTATATATCACTCCATGGGACAGAATAGCCCAAGTGGCCCCCAATGGGGACAGAAATGTAAGCTAGTCCAGAAAAAGCTAAATCATGTTATTTATGCAATGCAAGCCTGTAAAGTTGCAGGTTCCTGAATACAGGCCTAGAGCTGGGAGCCCAAAACCAGGAAGTAGAGTGATCAGCTTCCAGAACTTGAGGAGTCTGCCCCCTTGTTAATGCTTCTCCTCAGATGCCTTTGCTTTCTCTTCCAAAGGGCCAGGGCAGGGCTCGTGCTGCAAGGATGGCAAACTAAGATACAGCCCTTGGATGGTAGAAGAAACTGGCCATTTTCTCTTGTTTCTTGTCTGGGATTCAAGTTTAATTTCCTTTCTCTTTCGTTTTCTTGTGAGCATGGGGAGGAGAAAGAACTGCAGAATACAAGCTGATGGTTATAAGTTCTGTATCAAAAATCTGTTACCTTCTTATATACTCAGCAACCCTACTTTAAGTAGCATTTACTAGGCCACTGTGAACTGTCATTAAACACCCTGTCCACTCCCCAACCGCATCAATGAAAAACCAAATGACAGAGTGCATTTGTGATCAGGAGCAGACTTTCTGCCATCTCACACAGAGCCAAGGAAATGGCTGGCCTTCGACATGCAATGTGTTACAGTCTACATTTGTAGAAAGGTGATGAGAAAGATCTGTTTAATAGGTGTGATCTGAGAGCTTCACCCTTAGTGCCCATCCCAGGTAGATTCTTGTAATACCAAATGTAAGACAGATAGGTCCCAGTGACGCCATTCATGCCAGCTCATGCCATTACTCTCAGCGAGGAACAAAGATCAAAGGTCAAACAACAAATTCTGCTGCTGGGGCTTTATTTACACCAAGATGTTTCTATTGATACTTCTGTTGATATTCTATTGATACATACATACATATATACATGTACACATATTTGAGTTTTTAATTCTGGAGATTGGACAATTTTCTAAATTGAGCCATAACACCCTAACTCCAGCATAAGGTTTTAAGTAGTTGGAATTTTCTAAACACTGTACATTCTCATACAATGGTACACCATCGACTTACCAGATACTTTCCTGTGATATTTTAAAATGTGCGTCTGCACTACATTCCACTTCAAAGGAAATATTCACTCATGGACTGTCAGTACACAGGAGGTCAAATCAGCAGAAAAACTCCACATATGGAAAGGAGAACAAAAAGTTCGGAGGTTTGTCGAGGACAGAGGGTGGGAAGCCTGGGTGGAAGCCCACGTTGAGAGCACACAGGATGGACGGAGCTGAGGACAGGAAATGAGAGGAACAGTACAAGGTACTCAAATCAAGGAAAGAGGCTGAGCTGACAATGGGCAGCTTTTCTTTGATAAACACACACTAACAGGCATGGGGAAATGAAGACTTCAGCAGGTGCTCTTGGATAACCTACTGGGGAAAAAAAGATTTAGATAATCATGATTTAACAATTGAAGTTAATAGTGGAGAATTTCAGTTTTGATTGCTAATTGATTTTTACAGAATAATACAATTCCTAGAAGGCAGGTATTTTAAAACAACAGAAAGGGAGCACTTTGCGGTGTGACTTGCTCAGAGCTGCTAGGAGAATGAGTGCAGAGCCCAAGGCGAGGGAGTGGGGGAGACCCGGACAAACACTAGCTCAGGTCTACCAGCAGTGCAGAGACCCTGGAACATGATGAAGTCTGTCACAGCAACGTTTAGTTGAATAGACAGGTCTTACATCATGCATATCACCGGATGTACAATAGCTATATGACCTGTTTTCAGCTTATGGACTTCTTATTTGTGCAGACTTAGATTTCAATCTCTTCCTACTTAGTAACTCACTCCATGCCCTGGGACCTTTTATTTCATCTCCTTTAGCCTGTTTCATCATCTATGAAACGAGAATAAGTTACCGGACAGAACTTCAGCAAGTAGGAAAGGAAATGGTTAATGTGACACATTGAACACAGTTAAGCACCCAGAAATTGATACTGTGATGTGATAATTGTTGTAGCTATGCATACAAAAAATGGTTACCTGTGTACTTAGTGACACAGTATTATTTTGTAACAAAATGTCCTTACAGTACAGCATTCTTTTGCTTTAAGCTTATTTCCAAAGAAGGAAATGACTTCCTTGATAGTAGTAACACCAACATTGGGTAAGTTGCTAATGAGAAGTGTACCACGTGGAGGCCACCACTAGAGGGCCCTACAGGGACCATGAAAACCTTTCCTTTCCTGTACTGGTGGGAAACGCTGAGAGGGCCTGGCCCTTTGGACTCATGGTCATTCTATTCATTATAGCTGTTCAAGAGAAAAAATAATAGCAAGAGCCCTCCAAGAGAAACTTCTAGGAGCCTCTGCTGACAGAAATCTGGAGGATAGCATGTGGTTGCTCACCAGAAACAGCTGGTAGGTACTAAGCTAGGGATATCATCCTACTTCAGGGGTCACTCTCCCCCTGCAGCACCCCACTGAGTTACCCATTGGTGGCATTCGAATGGAACAATACAAGGTAATATCAAAATTGAGACAGAAAGCTAGGTGGCATAGAGGGGTGGGCGTTCTGGAATTCTGGCTAAGGACATAATAACACCCACTGTGCAGAGGAACAGATTCTTCAGGATCTCAGTGGAGACAAGGACCAAAGCTGGTGATAGGGAGACAAAAGGAGGGAGGGAGGGAGAGAGAGAGAGAGAGAGAGAGAGAGAGAGAGAGAGAGAGAGAAACAATGCCCAGAAAGCCCAAGAGATTCTCAGGTCTCCAAGAGCCCTGAGCATCCCATCCATAAGGACAATGGCTGGGCACCCTGGATGGTGCACGATCGATCTTGGAATAAATGCCCTTCTGCCCTGGGTGGGCATTAGGAGATGGCTACACGCAACACTGCTATAGGTCCCCCTGTTGCAATTTCACAAGCATCATTGACCAGTCGCTTATAGCTGGGTCTGAGGAGGAGCCATGAAACCGGTCCAAGGAAGCCAGTGCCAGCCTTGTAGCTGCTACAGGAACCTGGACACTGGGCAGAAACAGCATGCTGTCTCCATAGGCAGGATGGCCCCTACACTGAGGAATGAGCAGGAGCACAGATCATCTCGAACCTTTTGTTGTTTTGTGGCACCTTGGCCTCTGTGGGCTTTGCATCTTCATCCCCAAAACGGAGCTGTCCTCAGGGACAGGCTGAGTAACGTGCCACCAGCCTCAATAAGTGAATGCCAGCTGCGGTAAGCGTTATTTGCCCCCTGGAAAGCAGTTGGGGGACTTAGCTGCAGGCACGAGTCTACTCAGCTGGAAGTCAAGCACCTCCTTTTCTAAACTTGGGCATCGCTGAGCAGTGAGTTCTCTCTCAGGTCTCTGCTTTCCCAAGCGCTGGGCAGAGAAAGCGCTTGTCCGGGAGGTGGTGATGGCCAGTGGGTTGTCCTCAGGACCTGATTGGGAGGAAGAAGTGAGGGCTGGCTGCTGGCCCGAGGAGCTCGGCTTCCTAGGGCGGGGGGCGGAGCAGGTGAGCCGGCCGGGTGGGAGTAGGGAGTGCACTTGTACGTGACGTTGGAGTTTGCAGCAACCGCCAAGTAGGCTGTGCGTGCCTGTGTGGAGTGGCTGCGCCGCGGGGAGGATGTGAACGGCGGGGCGGCAGCCGCAGTGAGCAGCGCGGCGAAGGGAGCCCGGCGGGCAGCCCCGGGGGTGCCCCCCGGGACTGAGACCCGCCAGCTGCTCTCGCTTGCCCGCGGAGGAGAGCCGCGTTGGCCACGGGCCCCAGAAAGGCACGCTCAGCCGGCCCCAGGATGTAGGCGATCGGCGGCAGCGCTTCTGCAGGCGGCCGGCTCATCATGAAGAAGCACTCGGCCAGGGTGGCCCCGCTCAGCGCCTGCAACAGTCCGGTCCTGACCCTCACCAAAGTGGAAGGTAAACGCCTGCCGCTGCGCCCCGTCGGGGGTGGTAGAGTCCAACTGGGGAGTCCCTGTCGCCCTGGGACGGGCTGGGCTGCCTGGCTACGAGGAGAGGGGCTGACTGCTTCCCTAGGACGCGGCTCCGCAGTGCAGCTCCGAGCTGCCTGCGTGGGGGGACTTGGCAGCGCTGGGGGCTGCCCTACACTCCCTCCCGAAGAGTGGGTGAGGGAGCCGCTGCGCAGCACACCTGGCTCCTTTCTGGGCAGCCACCAGCACATTTGGCAGCGGCTGCACCTTCTCAGCACCTTCCCTGCCTCCCCTGCCTCCCCCTGGGGTGCCTGTCTACAGGAAAGAAGGAGGGACGCCAAGACTAACCTGTATCCCCAACCTCCGCATCACCACCCTCACTCCTCCCCCACCTCCAAGCATACTAGAGGTGTTGCCCATGCCTGCAGTCCCCTAAGGAGACTTCTTGGGCCCCAGATGGCTCCCAAGCCTTCAGGGCCACCAGCTCAGTCACCGTTCAGGTGTGTGGGAATGGGGCTCCACTGGTGAGTGCACTGCTATTCCCAGCCTGTGAGCAGGGCCCTAGCGTGGAGCAGTTGCAGGTCCCCAGCCCATGTCCTCATCCTCCACATTGCCTCTTCTGCTGGGAGCCGCCCCCACTCTGGGGATGTGATGGAGGGAGCAGGCTGCTCAGGAGCCCATGGGGACAGCTGGGCCTTGCTTAGACACAGTAAACGTTCTGCTAGCACCGAAGAGGTGACAGGAACAGGGGGAAACATCTCAGTCCTTGGCTCTTCCCCCCAGGAACAGAGCTGGGATAACCACCTTCTCCAAGAGCTGGACCCAACCATCATCAGGTGCAGACTGGGAAGGAACAGCCGAGAGTCTGGGGTAGGCAGGCTAGCCTCAGTCCGAGGAACACTACTGTGCTCCATGCTTATCTTGAGCCAGCAGAGTCCATAGTGCAAGCAGTGAGCGAAGGGGTGCCCTCCTGGCCTTCCCTTAGGACTCCAGCTGAAGCTCAGACCCCTACTGACTCTCCAGGGAGGCATGCTATGTATACTCTGTGCCCCTGGTTGTTATATAAGTCTGAGGACCAAGGAGGGTGAAATTGAGTCTGGCAGGACAGGTGTGTATGTTGTATATTCAGTCCACCCGCAGAGGCCTGCCGGTCACCAACCTGCTAACAGTACCCATTGCCTATAGATAAGACAACTTGGAGGCGTTGAGGGCAGACAGACCGATCCAAGACCTGCAGAATGTAGGTGGTGGAGCAGGAGCGCAACCCTGATCTGTCTGTTCTAAACCTCATGCTTTTCTGAGTGTGGGTAGGCACTGACCCATACGCCTGTTTCTCACCATGTTTCCTGAGATGTTGATTTTTTTTTTTTTTACCTGACTAGTCAGTCCCCTTACAGGAGTTCTCTCAAGTAAGGAGAGCCACCTCTCTCATGTACACTTGTATCTCCTAAGCCTGCTCTCAGGCTGCCCATGTGCATGCAAGTCTGGGAGGGAAAAGGCTGAATATCTCCTTCCCATAGAGGGAAGCTGGGAATGTCTACTTCCATTATTATCACGGAAAGTTGCCCTGTCCCAGCTGCGGGTAAAGAGGATGGGCTCTGCTTGCCAGCAGCAGGTTGTCTCCCTTGGGCACTGCCAACCGGCCTCAGGCAGGGCCAGCCTGAGCAGCATTGTGAGTGGCACTGGATAAGGACGGATGGCAAGGCAGCCCAAGGTGAGCTCCGAGGCATCCAAGGTGCTGCCGGAGGCCGTAAGTGATGTGTCAGGTGCAGGTTCTCCTCAAGGCCATACCTGGAGGCTTCCTTCAGGGAACGAAAAGAAGAATTCCCTTAGGGCTGCTGCCAGGCGAGTTGGCAAGTCTCCTGTTCACCCTGACATCAGCAGCTGCTTTACTGTGGGCTTGGTCCTTTCACCAACATTTCAACCCAGGTCCAAGTGGGTAATGGCAAAGTGTACCGACCTAAGAACTAGACAGATGAAAGATCAAGATGGCTCTGCCACTTCAACTCGTGTCAATCATAGGTACTGGTCCTGATTCCTCCAGTGTGAACAAAACTACCTATGCCAGCTGATTGTTGAGGAAGGCACATGCCTGGCACACAGTGGTTGCTTCCTAAGTACTGACCAACCCTCCAGTCACAGATAGGCTCATTTGGGTTTTTTTTGGCAAATTATCCAGTTATTCTCTGAGAGTACACAGGTGTCTGAAAGCATCTGCAGAGGGTCCGTGACACTCAGAAGCCCCCAGGTTCTTTGGGTATGGAAGGATACCTACATGTATCAGCAAAATTCTGTAGCTCAGGGCCTGGTAGAACCTGCCCTTGGTTTGCCTATATATATAACTCATATATATAACACATATAACTCTTTCATTCATTCTGTCTGGTTCTTTTGTGTGATGGGTGTATATATATATGTGTGCGTGTGTTTGTGTGTGTGTGTGTTTATGCTTTTGATCCATTTTTGATCCACTTTTCTGAGACCATTTATATCTGGCATGCCTGTTTTTGGAAGTGTTAGTTCATTTCATTTTGCCTTGGATGCACATGGCAAAGTGGTTCCCATACTGTGACTATTCCTGTATAAGTGGCAGCCAGGCTCCAGGGATGGAATGCAGCCAACAAGGAGTATTTATTAGTTTGTGGAGTGTGTCATCTAAGGGGAGGCTAGAAGGCCCCAGCATGTGGTACACATAAAACTAAAATAGAAAACATGATGGTTGGCTGAACTCAAGCGTAGGGAGATGGTCAAATGACTTCATTTGTTCAACAAAATGCTCCAAAAGCATTGTGTGTCCTGTGAAAACTCAGCAAGGCTCTCCCTGGAAACACAAAAATGACCAATGTTAGCATCATTCTCTTGAAGAAGCTTCAGTCTATTGGGAAAGGGGCAAAGAGATCAATTGTTGGACAAAAAAGTTATAAGTTTCTGTGGTATGACTAAGGGTGAGGTTTTACAGGGATGCCGGAAATGTGGCAATCTGAAGAACTTATCATGACAGGGAGGCCTGTGTGAGGGAGAGGGCGTTGGAAGAAGGTACCTTTCTGAGGAGGAGGTGTGTCAGAGGGGCAGAGCTGACTGAGGCTGGGAGGCCTTTCTGAAAGGAAGCCTTTCTTAAAGAAGCCAGGATGAGAACATCTAGGGAGGAAGCTCCCCTTAGATGAGGGAGAGCCCTTCCTGTGGGTCAGCCTTCCATGGAATGGCCTTTCTGAGGAGAAAGGCTTGTCTGAGAAAAAGCGTTTGTGAGATCTGAGAGGGTTCTTCCTAAAGAGGAAGCCTCCTGAGCTAAAGCTGTCACAATCAAGGCAGGGTATGAGAGAGGGGAGATGTGTGGAAAACCTCGTCCAGTCCAGAAGGAAGAAGAGGCTGTTTCAGGTTTCAGCTAAAGGGAACAGAGCATACACTAGCTTGCATAGGAAATAGGGACAGAGTGGGAGCTGGGCCTCAGACATGGATCGCAACTTACAAGTAGCATCTAGCCACGATGGTGTCAACCCTGACAGCATAGCCAATTTTTCAGTCCTCTTCCCTGCTTTTGTATCAGAAGCAGACACTGAGTATTGATCTGTAACACATCTCTAGTGGAGCGGTATTTGCTAGGATCATCTACGTGCACCATCAGCTAATTCATGTTACAGTCAGTGGAAATTCAGCAGGTGGGAGAGGCACAAAAGGCCGTCCCAAGAGGTTGGCCTGAAGTCACACTGTAAGGCACTGGATGGGCTGGGTTTAGTGCTCAAGCCGCACACTGTCTGTTGAGTGACACTTTCTAGAAAGCAGCTTTTTTGAATGACAGCAGGAGTACTGACCTAGCCCTCTTGGAAATCAAAACGTTTTTAGTGAATACCCACTATGTTGCAGATGCTGTGCTGAAAGTAATTGTTCCATGATCTCTATTTCTCCCAATGGAGAGGTATGGAGGTTACTCCTACTTTGTAGATAGGAAACAGACTTGGGGCATCATTCGCACAAGATCCTGGGATCTAGAAAGCAAGAGTGCTAGGTTTCAGATCTATACCTACCTGGCTACCAGTGTGGAAAGGCCTTGGCACAACTGCATGTCCTTTGACAACATGAGAGAATTGTATCAGATCTGATGGGACTTTCTAGGCACTCAGTTAGTGCTTGCTTCCTAAAACTACCACCACCATATGACCTGGTGGCCTGGAGCACTGCCAGGGCTCATGGGGCCTGTGGCTGTTGGCCATGTTTTCGGTATCTCTGCTCCAGAGAGTCTCTGCTGTTCCTTGTCTCTGTGAAAAGGCTGTTACCTGGAATGTTCAGTTAGGGTGTGAGTGGAAGGCCCACTTGTGCTGGTCCAGGCTGAGACAGGTCATGAGAAGCACACCCACCATCAGAGGGTTTCCCCACAGATCTCCCCTACACGGGCTGGATCTAATGGTTAAACTCCAATAAGAAAACTCTTTTATGTCTTGGTCAACTATATTGCCTAGTATATGCAAGAGAATGAGGCGTTTTAGGAGGTTCTCATATAAGTATAATACAATCTTTGAGCCAACAGATCTTCCAAACAAGTAATAAATGTCAGAAACGCATACAAAGGTTACATGTAGAAAAGCCTAATTTTAGTTCTGGACCATAAATAACATGGTGCATTTCAGCAGAGGGCAGACACAGATAGCCACCATGTGACCAGACTTACCACCTTTTTTTTTTTTGCCAAAATGGCATTGTATCAAAGGGAACATCATCTCAAAGGGACAGAATCTCAGTTCTTGCCTGCTGAACTGAATGTGGTTTCAGGATCCACCTTACCACTGCACTCAAGGTATTGATCACACATCCACAGGGTTGTTTTTCTGCTGGGGAGTATGACCAGGGCAACCTGGTGGGAAGTAAGCACATGACATTTCCTGGTAGAGGGAACCCCATGGCAAAGTAAAAAGGCAAGAAGGGTGGCTCTTGGCAAAGACCTGCAAATGGGATGCAGAGGCAGGAGCATAGTTTATCAATAGATGCCCAGGGATG